TTTCTAGAGCAAGTTTTCCTCCCACAGGCAAACTTGTACTCTGTTGTCTGATTGTTCTTCTTTCCTGAACAAGCCTGTAAACTCTTTCTAGTAGGAAATGTCAGGTTCTTTGCTCATTAGTAAAAGCATCCAGCACTGTACAGATGCTCAGTACCATTAGGCATTGATAAATGCCTTTTGCAATTTGGTCCTGATCTTGAGGTAGGTTTCCTGATCACAGCTGACCAGATCTATCACAAATATCGATAAAAAGTACTGTGGCTGCTTTACAGTATGGCTCTCACTAGCATCCTTTTCATCGGGTTCATTCCCTGGTTCCAAATATGTCTAGCAAGTAATCTGCATTTATGTCCAAGCTAAACAAAGCAAAGCTAATTCATTAAACTGGCCATGGTTCTTTCAGCATCCAAACAACCTAATGCTATATGCCACAACTTAACTGAAAAAGAGTATTAAATATTGCATCTGCCAGTTCTCATACAACTGAGAGCATAATACAGAGTTTCTTACCAGAAGCTTCTAAGAATGCTAGTTTTCTGTAGTCTGCCCCAAAACATGACCTGTTACAATCAAATGAGCTGCTTCTTCCTTTATCTAAGAAGGGATTTATTTTTTTTTTAAAGTCTCTAATGTTACTAATGACCAGTCAATTAAATAATCTGCAGAATCACTTACTGAATAAAAGACAAGTAGTTCTGAAGGAAATTACCTCTTTGGCAGTATATTAATTCTGATTAATTATGCATTTGTCCTGGTCAAAGTAGAGCAGAAAAGACTTGTTTGAAGATGCAGAGGGCATTATCTTCATGAACACACCATGTTCAAGAAATGCAACATAACATCTCTCCACATTCATGTGTTTGCCATCTTTGTGCTCATTTATCCCCCATTTAAAAGTTACTTTTATTTGTTACACTACAGTTTAACAATATGCTTATAAATGCCTCACAAAAGTTACCACAGTTGGCACAGAAAGGAGTCTTTTAGTCAACTCAAGACTTGCATAGCCATGTTTTAGCAGCAGACATCCCCAGGACCAAAGAAACCACACAAGCAATTAAGTGCTTGAAACCACACAAATCCTGTCTAGCTCTCACTTTTTTTCCCCACTTTCCTTCCACATCCAAGCTCAGGCAGATCCACAGACAAGTTGGGTCACATAGCTGCTAGTGGACAACTTCAGCGTTCAGCTGTACTGAATCTTAGTGCAGTCAGTCTATCTACCAAACAGGCCTAAAGCAGCATTTCTGGAGGCCTCAGCTGAGACCATGCTGGAATGAGTGATGCAAAGAGAATTGAATGCAATTTGGTTTTCAGTTCTGGAGACCAGGCATTTGAATCTTAACCTAGAGTACAGGTGAAAATATGTACAATAACCTCATCCTAGCGCTGGTTTTTCCACAGCATAGTTTGTATTATTTATTACTTTCTGCACAGAGAAATACCAGGACCCAAGTAAAAGATATCAGAAATGGAGTATACAACTATACTCTTGGCAACTTAATGCTGTTAGGGTTACATTCATCTCAGTGCAGACCAGCAGGCATGGGTCAAAGTCTTCTTAGAGCTTCTCTTGAAAAGAGTTCTCAAGCTCAACTTGTTCACAACCATCACATCACATGTAACATTGATAAAACCTAAGCACAACCTTGAAGTCTTAAATGTAAGCAGGACTTCAGTAGTGGTTCCTGGACTCCCTCCATAGATGCGACTGTTATCTTTATTTTCTACCACATAGCTGCACTTAGAATCAGCGTTTTCAATACATTTTGCAAGGTCATTGAAGGAATGATAACTATCATTCAGTGCCCAAAGTGACAGCTAGGAATAGATGAACAATACCTAGCAAACACCTAGCAAATATCACTGTTCAGTTTTGTCTCATTTCTATTGATGCTTTTAATGTAAATACATAAGGCTCTGGAACTTTTTTGTTTTATCCATGCATATTCCTTCCTTCAGTGTGGCAGGCTGACTGTGAAAGGCATATCTGAACAAAATACAGACAAGATTGGCAACAACTCCTGAAAGAGCCTAATGTAGTGTTTTTGCACCCCTATTCCTTCAAAAATTAAGCATTACCCCCCCAACCTTTCTGTTTCTTAAGCCTGTGTACTAAAGAAATGCCGTTAATCATTGATACCTTATATTTCTTCTGCATGACCAGGATAAGAATCAGGACATTGCTCTGATAGGCTCCAAACAGGAATTTCCCTACCGTTTCTTCAGCAAGGAGTCAAAAGCACAGGAGAAAGTCAGTATTTAGATCAATGGAAACACCCTATGGAGAGGCAAAAGTAATTGTGTCCCTGTTATGGTATTTATCGTGACTGTTGTTTTGACTCTGCACAGTCCTGAAATACAGTTCACAGCATAACGAATGGGTACTGACATGCAAGATCTTGTGAAAAGCTAAAGCTGCTCCAAGCGTAGTTCTCCCTGTCTAAAAGCAGGGTTGCATAGAAAAAGTAGTTTGAGTTGTCATTTTCCACAAAACATTTCAACAGGAAATTTTTATAAAAATCATAATATGTTAGTTTCTCTTCCTTCCCATGTTCTTTGAGAAAGAAATGTCCTAAGATCTGAACCTGGTGAAAGGCAGAATTCTTTTTCACACAAACTTTATGAACACTGTGGAAGTTTTGAAAAGCTAAAGTGAAAAAACCCAAAGCTTGTATGCAGGGCAATATAGGAACAACTGAGACAGTTACTTCTGCTTCATTTGTGTGGAGGGAAAAAAAAAAAAAACAAAACTAAAAATAATAAATTCTGAATTTTTCCATAAAGAAATAAAGTGAAGATCTTTTAAATGAAAGACGGAAGAGAAGCACAAGAAGAAATACAAGCTATTCAACTAGGCCCATTAGCAGGATTAAACGGACTAAAATCAGTCATCTGTTGAGTGAGAGACAAACCGCTTGATGTGAATGTCTTAATAGATACTGGCAGAAAACAGACTGGATTATTCTAGTGCTGTATTTTAAATGATAGCTGTACATTCTGACATACGGTCTCAAGCAATTCCTTTAAACAAAATGAAGGAGAACTTATTCCAGTAATAGAATTAACTGATATGACATTCAATATAATGTATTGGCTGTCTGCAGTTGAAAGGATACTTATTTGGCTTTATTAATTTTACTGGTCCTACTGTTAGATAGCCTGTTTTTCCACTGGGCCCAGAGCAAGGAGTTAGAGCCCTCTATAGCAATGAAGTACAACTTTGGCTTTATAAAGGAGGCAAACACTCCAAGGATCTCTCACATACTCTAACGTTCAGCATTGCACACCTACAATTAGTATTCCCTTTTTCTTCAAATATCCATTGCTTCCAAGTTAGTACCCAATACATGAATGAGAAGGCACCTCAGAACAGTGTTTGGAGCAGTCTGTATGGCAGAAAATTACAGGGAAGGCACCAATAGCCAAAAACCAGAAAACTATCATTCCAGGTAATTCAGCATCCATTTCTAGTCAGAAGGCGCAGCACCCATCTCTCCCTTAAAGTGCTTTCTCCCTTCTCCCTGCCAGCCCTTGAGTAGCTGAAACCAAGGCAGAACAGGCAAGCTTTAACATGCTGTAGTTAGAATACCCAAACACTGGGAGCTTGTGTACAAATGTGTTGGGCCTAAGTCCTGAATTTTAAAATGGCAAATTTTGCAATCACCAAGCTACAATCTTAGCACTCCATCCTGACAGTGTTTGACTTTACACAAAACTTTTTAATTTTCATAATCTGAAGAGAATAAGTCCCACTCCCTGAAATAAGTATCAGTGCAAGATCATCCAGTCATGACAGTGACAGTGAACTACCTATGTCAAAACAGAATCCTTATTTATTTATAATCTGAGACAGTTTAACAAATTTACTGATAAACTAGGAAAACATCAATAATCACCAGTTACAGCTCTGTGCTTATAGCAAGTAAGTGCTTGCTACAACAGGACAGTTGCTTCTACATACTCAAGAGGTATGAGGTAGGGCTTTGAAGCTGGATCTTCCTCAAGTCTTTCATAGAGACAAAACTGTATATGGAAGTTGGCATCAATGGAAAAAAGCAGTACATAACTCAAACCTGAGGCAGAGATTTATTTCTAGTCACTAAGAGAGATCGTGAAATGAAGCAAGAGAATTAGCTCAAAAAACCCCACCAGTCTAGATACTAAGATGTGAAGAGTGCTGGCTTGCAGCTGCCTAAGGTAAAGGTCAGGAATGAGGCTAAGCCTGACAACAGTGAATATACTCATGTGACTCACTAAAGCAGTATCTCCCCTTCACTAGCCCACCGACAAATTACATGGAGCTCTGAAAGAACACACCTTCTTTGAAGAAATTTTGTTAGCTTTCATCCCTGCAAAGCAGTTTGAGGGCATTTAAGTATTTGAGATCAGAATTACTCTGCTACATACAGGGCAATTGAAACTTGCTTGCTTTCTTTTAGGGAAGGAGAGGAAAAAAGGGAAGTCTTATGACACAAATAGTCACTAAAATCCTGAGGAAGCAGCAGTAGCTCCCTGTTGTCTACCTTTTCATCCCTAGTTTTCTCTAAGAACATCTTTTTCTAAAGCAGCCTGTTTTTCTTTATTCCTCATCAGTTACTATAGGGAAAGGTTGACACATCATGTTCATCTGATCGCAAGAAGCAGATGAGAAGTCCGCAGCAATGCTTACTCCAGATGCGATGTATGTGCTAGACAACCTCTGATCACTCCACTGAAGTTGAAGGATCTTGTCAAGATTCTTTCTTCGGTCCAGGAATTTGATATGCGCTATACAAGGCAATTAACTAAATCAAATCTCATTAGGACAAGACAAGATATCATGTACTGCAAGACTTCAAAAACACTGTCCTTATTTCAGCTATGCTGTTCATCTTCAGTTGCCTGGTTGCTTGTTTTGGACTGGTGTTGAGTAAAAGAGAGAGTCCCATAGGTCTAGCACATGTAGCAATTCAGTTGCATTTCCACCCTTGGCTTGAATCAGGTTGTTCACTCAGAGCTTAACTGTGGTCTCGGTTCACTTTGTTGAATAGTTTGAGACATGCACCTTGTCTTTGCAGAACTGTCTGATCCCCTGGTGGGCAAGTGAAAGGGTTATTAAGTTCCAGTAGAGACTGAGTGGACCCTACTGTCACAATATTTTGCAAAGACAGATTGCTACTTAAACCATTTAGTATCAGAGAAGCCCATAGATTTTTTTAAAGTAATCATTTGCAGTGCAGTTTTTGCTTTCCACATCTTTAATTCAGGAGAGCCTGGCAGAGCTGACTGAATACAGAGCACTTGAATCATTTTCAAGTGAATGAAAGAAGTGGGTGGCAGCAGCCCTGATACCCACGATTTCTAAAATGTACTTCATTCCCTCCAAAAGTTCAGTTTAGGAATCAATCAAGCCTCACTGATTTCCCAGGGGCAGGGGGCATGGAAGACTAGGAAACATGCACAGACCAGTTGAGTTATACAGCTCCAGCAAAGCCTCACTTATTAATTGAAAGGGGTAACTTATTTCTCCTGAGGAGGAGGCAAATAAATTAAAATCAAGGCATTAATTAGGACATTGTGTAATCTTTACAAATGCCTGCACTTCTTAAGACTGTTTCCAAACTCCTGAGTAGGTGGAAAGCTGCAATACATAAGAAAGAATACACAGGCTTTAAGTATGTGCAACTCTACTGATTTTTTTCCAGTAGTCCTTACTGAAGTCTGGCAGCTAGTAAGCTTAAGGCTGTGTAATAATTACAAAAGCAGCTGATCTTAGGGAAGATTATGATAAAGTAGTCTTTTCCCGTTACCAGCTTCAAAATTTGGAGGACACTGTCTGGTCTGTCATCTCAAACAAGACCAGCAACAGTGGCATGGAGCCATGGGGAAGAAGGCTGATGACTGAGGGTTTAGGTACTCTTACTGGAAGTTGTAAGGTGTAGCAGTACTTACATGACAGCAGAGGACACAGAAGCAAGAAAGCCAGCAAGCAGAAGGAACAGGAGAACACTTAGGATCGATGTAATGACAATCATGTCTCCACTCCTTCGACCAGGCCAGGTATCAATTTTCAAGGGAAGTTTAACTAGAAAAGCATGGAAAGAATGTTCCTATGATCTATTTTTGACCACGAACACCCACACCAAATAGGAGAAAGCTGGTGATTTAGGAGAGGCAAACTGATTTTGTCCATACCTGAAGTCTTAGATGATTTATGGGAAACAGGTTTAAGACTCAATGTCAACGTTTAGAGTATATAAGCTTTCCTCAGCAGGTTAGCCGGGTATGACAAGTATCTGTATTACTAAGAAATGTCAACAGCACCAGATACCACGACATGCATCAAATCTGAAACCGCATGTAAAAACTTTATCTTTACTAAAAGAATTGTTTTGAAGTACACAAAAGACGTAGAGAATTATTCCATATTGAAGTCTGCTACTCCAATATTGAAAGGCTGACAAAATTGTTAAAACTGTAGGAAAGGACTAGGTGTTGCTCATAGAGCAAAAGTGTCCTAAGGCAAGCACAGCTACTCAGAAATGCTGAGCAAAGCCACAGACTTACCTCTTCTGGTTTTGATTGGATCAGACCAGAGAGTTTGGCCTTTCATGATACTTTCAGTGGTATCTAGCAACACATATTTAAACCTGTGGGGGAAAAAGTGTTAAATTAGATATTTAAGATTTGAGCTTCCTTACTAGCATTTTTAAGCTTCTGGATTAGCTGGTCAGACTTCAGGTTTTGTCAAAGCATTAGATGGAGGCAGTCAAAGGTAACTGACTATTTCCAGAGACCTTATAAAGAACAAATAGAACTGATCATGGAAAAGCATTCTGTGCTATGTCATGCACAGTTTGCGCTTCATTCCTGTGAGCCTTGGCAGATGATGGGTTTCCAACAACAGTTCTTCCCAGCTTGCTATTCCCTGTTGTGAAGAGCCTCATTAATTTAGGACAGCAAGTGGTTTTGATTTCCATCTGGAAGTTGAAGATTTTGTCCAACAATAGAGATCTTTGGCACTTCCCCTGCTGGAGTATTGAAGAGATAGGCCAACATCAGATTTAGCAAAGAAATTAAGTTTCCATTCCACAATAGTTTGAGTATTCAGAAATGTCCTGGAGAGACAGAAGAGGCAAGATAGTTTTTGCAAAACTAAGAGCCCATAGTATTTTCTTTCAGAAGCATGTTAGGTCTCCACAGCAGATAAGGCTCCATGTGACTGCAATTTTTGCTACGGCTTTTAAATGGCTGGCAATAGCAAAACAAGTGTTTCGGGTAACAGCTGTCAGGGTGCCTGAGTTTCCCAGATGGCCAGCTTCCCCAGACAACAGGGGTCAAACAAGTCTGCAAGCCACCTGGCCCTCACTATGAAGTCTCCAGTAACATTAGGGGCTTCCTGGAGCTGGAGACCAAGGAGAACAAGGAGAACTTTGGCTCCCCAGAATCCCATCAAAACAAAGCAAGCAGAGCCAGATCCGCGTCTGCAATTTGGCAAATCATCTAACACAAAATACATGGTGAATAATCTCAACATAATTTTCCAGTCAAAATCCTTTTCTACCAGCAGTTTCTAATCAGATGCTGTCACTGTATTACCTACTCCAACATAAGTATAGATCCAGCAGTTTGCACATGAATTTTCCTACTGATCCGTGAAATTAGCCTGATAGAGCTCACCACTGCTAGGGCACTGTAGAGCACCATCTGCAGGGTGCTAGACCAAAGCCGAGCCATCTTCCTAACTACCCTTGCAAGACAGCATTTCAGTTAGGGACTGATAATTCACATCATGCCATTACAAAGGAACATCACAGACTCAATGTTGCTTCCTATTGTGTTTTAAGAGCAGCAATCACCTTGTAAGAAATAAGAATTATACCTGTATGTTGTGTCTGGTGCAAGAGGTGGGTTACAGACACCTAGGAAGTTTGGGTCGTACAAACAAGTCCCGTCATCCCCGACTCTGAAGAGGTATCGTTTCAGGACATCAGACACTTTGTTGACATCTCCTACATCAGCAAGTTTGGGAGGTGATGCACAATTGGGTACCTTGAACAAGGCAGCCTTGTAAGGTCCAAGCTGCCCCCCGCTTGTTTGTTGGAAGGTGCTGTCGAGTGGTTTGCTGCTGTTGTTGGTCACCAGGGAGCTTATTGCACTTGCTGCAGGAGAGATGTTTTTTAACAAGGCTGTTAGAACTAGTTCAGCCCCTTCCATTCACCCTGTATTTACTTGGCAGCTTGCTCTTCTACCGCAAAGCACTCGAAAGGGAAACTAAAAATCTGCCACCAGTTTGGCTGTGTAGCGATCCTGCTCCTTCCTCCTTATTTGTTGATGAAGCTCTTTACCCTTGTCCCTCAGAAACTGTGAAGGATCCACAGCATATCTCAGAGCAATACTTTTTAGTAACCACCCTCCCAAAATTCCTCTTTTCTAAGGAGAATCTGGTGAAGTAGGGAGGAGGGTGGCAAAGGCAGCTCTTCCCTAATACCACACATGGCTCCAATAAACATCCAGTAAATCCTGCTATTTCAGGTTTGATACCATAACTAAGGCAGAGCTCCTGTAGAGTCACAACTCTCCCATCTCCTGGAGCAGAAACCCTTAGACCTCTGGTCATGCCGCAGCTGGACCTCCCAGAACCGCACAGTCTGCAGACCAGTGCGTAGGGGCTGCATGAACAGATGCAGTATCTACATTTCTGGCCAGCCAGGCACATCACTGCTTCCAGACAGCATGCCTCAAAGTCTAAAAGTCCTCACAGCTTCAAGCAAAGTGTGACTCTGCGCCCAGCCCTACAGCATAGTTTGGAAGCTCAGTTGCAGCTCTCAGACCTTTCCTGCTGCAAAGCCAAGGCACAAGTCCCAAGAGATGCTTCCAAGTTCTGCAACTGCGGGTTAAATTTTTTTTTGGGACCCCCCTCCAACTGTTCAGTGCTGTCAGCAGTGAAGGAATGCCAGTTCTTCCAAAACTGTGGTGCATTGTGATCTACTTCAGTTTGGAAGCATTCTGCTGTGCTCCTGGAGCAGAGTTCTTGCAACTGCGTGGTAATGAGAAGTTTTTAGCTGTGATCCAATGCAAAATTAAACTTGTTTTAAATGGGAAAAGTTTCTAACACAGGTTAGAAATACAACTTAAGGGTCAGTGCTCAAGTTAGTTAAGCTCTGACACCCCTCTCTTCAATGGGAGCCAATAGCATGAAAGCAAATACTAGCTAAGACATGCTCTGTTCTTAGGCTTGCTTCCCCAGATTACAATACTTCTCACAGCTAGGTCTTCCTCCTCTCCCAGTCTCCACTCCAGCCTGGCCCTGGTGAGCAAGTAAGAGCTGATGCCTAAGCAAGTTCATTTTGTGGTTTTTTTTGTTTGTTTGGTTTTTTTGGGTTTTTTGTTTGTTTTGTTTTTTTGGGTTTTTGTTTGTTTTGTTAGGTTTTGTTTGTTTATTTTTTTTAAAACTTTACTAGGTAGATCAAGTCTGATAGCAACATTAATAAGAATTGAGCTAAAAGTTACATTACTTCTTCAGAAATTTGCTAGATCCTCAGCTTTGCAGTATGCTGACACATTTCCTTACCAGCAGAGCTGAACATAAGGTGCTAAGAAAATTAAGTTCTCTTAAATTTTCCTTCTCCCTGCTCCAGGAGGCATCCAAGGGTGAGCCAATGTGCTTCTCTGCAGACCAGAGACAAATCCAAAAAAAATTCCTCCCAGTCTGCCAAGTAACAAGTTTGCATCTGCTTGCCTTAAAAGCAGCCGAAGAGATTTCGCCGTATATAACCCCTTTTGTAGAGATTCACCTATCTGTGGAGTAAGCTTCTGCCACAGAATCTGCAGAAGATGGGGTGGTTGATGTAATTTCTAACACAGAAATCAGTACCCTTTTATATAATTGTAATGCACTTATAGTCTGTTTCAGACATATAGAGATGTGCACTTCCGTCAATGGATGTGTCTCAGAAGGCCGTGCATTCACAATTGTCTGTGTTAGCTGTATGGGATGGTGTCTCTGGTTACGGCTTCTACCCCTCCAAGTCCTCCTCCTTCCACCTTGTCCAAAGTGGCAACAATCAGCAGTGGAAGTTTCAGACTGTTTTGTCTGTTGGCCAATTTCTCTACTGCCTCACTCAAGATCTCTTCTCTGTGCCTCTTAGAAAAGGAGGCTGCATAAAGCCTGCAGGGGAGAAGGCGTGATATAAGAAGTCATTTATTTCTGTGAGCTCTCGGAGTGGCTCTAGCTGGCATTCAAAACAGTCTGCCAGAGCAGCAGGGAACAAAGGCGGCAGTTCGTGGTCACTGCCAGCAATGTTTCCTTGCCAAGCAGTTATGAAATTCATTTTATGAATGAACCCGTGGGCCAGACATCTTTGACCACAAGTCTAGCATGACTTGCCTTTGTCTACAACAAAAAAACCAAAGGTAGTCCTTGCAAGGGCTGGCTACCCTAACTATGAAGCAAACAGCAGCAGTTACCCAGTTTTCTCTCAGCAGGTTTACTTAGGGGAATGCAGGCTTTTATACAAGGCATTCATGTTTAGACAAAGATAAGGTATTCGACCATGGACCACTTGGTTTCATTAGCAAGCTCTGGGCAAACATTTATAGCTGATAGTGCTGATAGTGGAGTCAGCTAGCACAGTACTAACACTTGCTATTGTTAATCAGCCCCATTGAAATGCTACAGTTATTCATATTATATTTTATAATAATACCCTGGAAAAAACTGCGACCAGAGGCTCAGCTTGTACATAGCTTACAGCTACAGATTTTTTCTCTTTTTCCCCATTCAGACCCACTCCCGTCAAATCGTGAAGAGTTGCGTGAAACGGCCACATCATGTAGTTATGTTCCAGAGAGGCACAATGCTGGATACTCACCTGATTCCTTCATTGCATATAAGTAGATGATGTAAGATTTATTTGGAGACAGTGAGCTGTCAAACATACAGAAAGGTTTCTCTAGGGCAACTGTAGTGAGAGTGGGATTGTTGGTAGCAAGCTGAGAGGCTGCAAGCTGAGGCTTCAGGCTTTGATCTAGAAGAGAAAGTTACCAAAAAAGCATATTAAAAAAATCTTTCTCTTCTCCCCCTGCAAGCTCTGACTCAAAAGGGAGGATGTGGCGGTGCTATCAAACAACATTAAAACATAAAAGGGGGATGTGAACTGCAGCTGAGCAGGAAACAGCCTACCTGCCCTGTGAAAGTCTGAGAGTTAGGGGGTTTGCTTTGATGCAAAATGGGGAACACAAGGATTTGGGGAGGGAGGTAGGAGATGTTGCTCCTCAAACATACTGGAGACATCAGGTCAGAAGGACAAAGGCAAAGCCTCATTATAGAAGAGACTTGAACCTCTGTCTTTAGGGTCCCACGTACAGCCTCCCCCCTCCAGTGGGGGCACCAGAAGCAGCACAGTCAGTTCTTGAATCCTTCAGCAGCAAGGAGTCTTAATAAGGTTTTTAAAACCAGGCTTGTTAACATACAGAGTGAAAGATTTAGCAGAGAGGAAAGCTGTCTGTGAGAGACCCTGGAGAAACCAAGTGGTATTAGAATGAAGTTTGTATCAGGCACTTCCTCCCTCCCCACACAAGCTCATCCCATCTCCAGTCTCCTGGGGAAGATTAATTAAGAACTAAGAGAGATATTCAGTGGCTCCTCCTCCTTCCCAGCCTAGCTGCAGTAGAGACGCTTTAACAACCTTCCAGCAGAATACATGTTTGAAGCCCTAAACTCCCTTCCCAATACAGATCCTAGAGCAGAAAGTTGACACCCAAGACAAAAAAAAAAAAAAAAAAAAAAAAAAAAAAAAAAAAGAGAAACAGAAGGGGAAGAGATACAGAGAGAGGAGCAACAAAAAAGGAGAAGAGCCTGCTGATAGATGCCTCTTACCTGCACACAGCTGTCCCAAGCAGCAAAAGGTTAATACAACCCAATAGCTGCACATGCTCGAGCCCTCCAGAAACCTGCCACAAAAGGAAGAACAATGCTGCGAGGCAGCCCTCACTGAAGAGCTCCCACATCCACTCCCTCCCTGAAGTCAACCACACCTGCTCCTTTCCACAAGGTCCCTGCGGTTAGGAATTGCCCACCCCCTCGGCACCTCCCTATAGCCTTATTGCCCCTCCTGCTCAGGTGTTGCCACCCCCCCACCCACCCCCCTTATTTTCTGCTCCCTGTTGAGGAAGGGTGTTACAGCTTTGATTTCCAGGTGATATTGGGCACCAGTGTAGCTCTCAGCAGTACTATGAGTGTAAAGAGAGGTTTTTTTGTGTGACCTGTGTTATTGATAGGTAGCTTTGTTCTTTACCATCTTCTGTCTCAAAACTTTTGAAACTCTCATGTAGGGA